CAGAATTTGGGGCTGCCAGGTAGAATCAAGGGCTCTTGTGTTCTTGCCTTGAGACTCCCTGGAGGATGGCTTCTGCCAGTACAGCTGCTTCAGCCCTTGGCAGCGTAGAAAAGCTGAGGAATTCACATATTTACTTCTTCTGGCCTTTGGGTATCTGGCATATACAGTGAGGAATACATCCAGCTAATGCTACAAACTATTTAGATAAAAGTTGAAAAGATGGGTTTCTTATCGCTAATATGTGGGAACACCAGCATCTGTCAGTGGCTTCTTATTACTGAATAGACTCTAGATGGGAACAGAGAGAAGTGGATCGGATTGGTCCCTTCTGTCGAGGAAGTCTTAGAGTAGATCTCAAGTGCTTGGCAGACTCTTTTTTTGTGTGCCAGCAGTTGCCTCCTGTTTTTTAGCTCCTCATTTTGGAAAGCTGTTCCTTGGGTGACAGGCTCCCCATCCGCAGCCAACACAGCATTCCTCAGAGCAGGCTTCCTGACCCAACCAGCTGCAGCAACAAGCCAGCTTGCTCTGGTCTGTTTGCCATATGTCAGAGCCCATTGCTGACCCTGCAGAGATCAAACTGAAATGGTTAAGGAAAAGAAAGGCAGCAGAACCAAGTTATCCATACTCCTTGTCCACATGGGAGTAGCCTTACGCTCTCTCTCTCTTTGGGGCTTAGCTCTGATAGGCATGGACAGGAAGAAGCATGAGAACCATTCACTAGGATGCAAAGTAGTACCCTGAAGCATTGTACATTTAGAACTTCAGCTTGTTGGATGTCAGAAATGTGAAGGAAGTCCCAGAACACTAATCCAGACCCCTTGTTTAATGTTGAGGTCACAGAAACTCAGAGAATTTAAGTGACTACCTCAGGGACACACATTGCTTAGGAAGACTTCAGACAAGAACCAAAGGCCTCCCTGGAGTTTGAGCAGATTTACTCAGTACTCCTGGAACACACTTAGGTTGTTGATAAGTATGTTTTCTTCTAGGGGCACCATTGTCTCCTTGCGGGAGGGGTGTATCCTGGCACACATCACAGCAGGAACAGTAGTGAGGCTAGTGGTGGAGAGCAGAGTCTGGAGTCCTGGATTTGAATCCTTTTTCCTTCATAGGATGGCTCTGTGACCTCAGGCCCACTCCCTTAAACTCTGTTCACTTCCTCCCACTATCAAATGAATTAAACATGACAATTCATGATAATCTACTCCTAAGTATAATGATTTAAAAATATTGATAGTATGTTGTTAACGTGGACCGACCATATTTGCCCACTCTCTTCCTGTTTCATGCTATGATCAAGACCTACCTTCTTTGTGAAACATTCCCATGGGAACAGACTGCTCCCCTGCCCAGGTCCCACTGCCAGAGGTTAAGAAACCTCAGTTTCCTAATCTATAAAAGACAGAACAACCTATTTTAGGCTTGTTGTGAGGTTTGAAGGTGATACGGCTATGAAGCATGCAGCCTCAGGCTCTGCGAATGCTGGGTCCCTCTCTATTTTTCTTTCCATAATAGTAGTTCCCACATCTCTTTCCTTTTCCTATTGCCATTTATTCCAGGTCCTAGTGGGATTAGTTCAGGGTGATTCTGTTTCTTAAGAAGCAGTCTGTCACAGCAGTTGAGAGTAATCACCTAGAAGACAGACAGCTGGCTGTCACTTCATGGAGCTGTGTGAGAGACAGGAGCAGCTTCCTTACCTTTTCTTGGAGCTAGAGCCATCCATGGGGACCTCAGCCTCTGGGATTGCCCTTTGGGCCCAGCAGTGCCTGCTGTAGGCCTGGGGCCAGGCTGCCAGACAAGCCTATTCCCAGGAACAGCAGCCAGGGCTGGCACAGAGGAGGAGGGAGTCTGGAGACTGTTTGATGCAAGGGCAGGAGGCAGAAGCAGCTGGAGTTGAGATTGAGAAAAGCTGGAGGCTGATCTTGGTCCAGTCTAAGCTAAGCAGAGCAGATTTACTGACATTGGTGTTTCAGATAAAACTGTTTAGAAGTAGGTTTTCCTGGTTTGTGTGCATATATTTTTGGTTTTTTGTGGTTTTTTTTCCTTCCTCTGCGTTGCTACTTGTCTTGGCTCCATTTAACCCTTTGATGCCACTTAGCCGAGGCAGAAGGCAGTCCCACTAAATTTTGGGGGGTACCGGGGATTGAACTTACAGGCACTTGCCCACTGAGCCACATCCCCACTTATTTTGCCTTTTATTTAGACACAGGGTTGCACTGAATGGCTTAGCCTCTGGCTTTTGCTGAGGCTGGCTTTGAACCTACGATCCTCCTACCTCAGCCTCCTGAGTCACTGGGATTACAGGTATGCACCACTGCACCCAGCCAGAGTCACTTACTTTGAGAACATACCTGAATGGCTATGGCAGCTCTGGACTTGCCACTGAGTAGAATACTGTTCCTAGCATAAGGGAGGCCTGATTCTAAAAGAGCATTTTACATGGATTATCTCAAGTACTCTACCCACAATCCTTGGATGTACAAAAGGATGAGCTGCTGACAGTTAATTGGTACATTCCCCATGATTGAAATCTAGGTTTGCTCAGCCTCCTAATTACTGTGTTCCTCTTTTCTCCCTTGCTAGATAGTCTCCTTGACCTCAGTATGCCTCCATTTATTTTCCTGTAATTGAGGGTGATTACTTCATAGAAATACATTTAAATATAGCTACTAAAAGACTAACATATAAAGGGAATTTCTTAATAATAATGCGGTTGTTTTTGGAATGTTGGCGCTTGGGTGCCTGGATTGTGCTCAGGCTGCTCCTGTAGAGTTGCAAAGGTCAGGAGGAGGACCAGCTGGGGAGGCAGTTCCACTGAATGATCTGAGTAGAAAACTGGACACTCTGTCCTGTAAACCTACAGAGCTGAACTAGGTGGGAAGGGAAAGGCATCTAGAACTGGCTGAAAGCCTGCTTCAGGTAAGGGACAGGGTGTGATCATCGATTTAATAAAGTGTTCATCAGGCACAGCGAGGATTCACCTTGGATTTTATTCAGGCTCAATTACTAGGAAATCTGTCCTGTGGAGAGCCTGATCCCCTGGTGTTTTGGGGCAGTGGTGCCTTTGAGTAGAGTTGGTGCTAAGGTGGGTGCAGATGCATTATGGTTGTACATAGGGAGACTGTTTCTGAGCAAGACCCAAGCTAATGACTCAAGGTGGTATGGGAATCTTAGCTGAACCTAGGGAAACTGAGGCCTGGAGCCCATTGTTCAGATGGGACAAGCTGAGCCTTCCAAAAGGCTAACCAGACTAACCTTTGCTCAGCATCTTTTAACAGGTACCGTATCAGGAAAAGTGCCACATACTCAGTCTGCATTTCTTCACTGAACCCTACAACAGCTCTATAAGGCAGATCAGGGTTAAATAATTAGCCAGTAGCAGAACTGGGCTTTGGTTAAAGCTCTAAGCTGGAGCTTTAACCATGCTGGTGGACTGAAACATCCCAGGATTAGGACAGCTGGACTAATTCTAGTCCCCACCTCTGGTGGGGCTGAGCCCATGGGCACCCTGCCTACCAGGATCATGGTGGCAGGGCTGGCCTGGCCTGGGGGAGGATATCCTTATTGGGCACTAGGCACAGAACCATGTATTGTTTCCTTCCAGTGGCTGGATAGTTGAGGATTTGCTGTTTTGGGGTTGCTGTGGTGTCACTCATGAACTCTGGGCCCAACCCCAGGTGTTCCTCCCCTGGAGGTAGGTGCAGCAGTATAGCTCGGGGGTATAGGTCATGGTTTCTTGGACCAGACTTACCAGGTTCTGTTTGGTATGGGATCTCAAGTAATTTACTCTGTGCCTCAGTGTTCCTGTCTTTAAAGGGGATTGTGGTGAGGTATGTGAGTTAAAGTGCTTAGCATAGTGCCTGGCACCAAATCAAGTGCTCAATAATCGATAATTGCTATTATTAGCTATTAGTCAACAGTTAGTGAATCCAGGGAGACCTTTAACTTTAAAAGGCTTGCCCGCCTGAGATGCAGGACTGAGCACTGTGATTGGGCCTGCGGAAAGTTCTGTGAGCAGAAGTATTTTCCCAGGGAAGGGGTAGACACTGAAGAAGGGAGTCCACTGGGCAGTAATCAGAGTAATTAGGAAGCCATATTCACCATCAGACCTGAAAATATTTTCTTCTGACTTGAGACCACCATGCGCCTCAACAGGCAACTGGAATGAGGGCCTTTCAAAGAAAGGAGCCAGAATGGAAGAAGGATCTGACCTTCTGACATTGACCGGTTGATCATCTGTCGACATTGATTTCCCCTCCTTTTCTCATCTGCTGGGAATGTTAAAAGCCTTCAGATTTCAGCTGGTTCCACTGTGTCAGGTCGTCTAGGATGCTCTTACATTGAAAGCTGATGGGGTGAATGAGACTTAGGGCTCTTTGGGAGCCCCGTCCGTTTGGTGCTTACCTGGACACCTTGGTGCCAGACTCTGGAGGAAGCAGCAGTGTGAAGCGTCTGCCCATGTGGGTGGGGTGAGTGGCCTGGGGTAGGGTGGGTCAGTGGAGGCCAAGAAATCCTCTTATCTCACCCGGTGCCCTGGCCTCCCTCAGCAGCAGGAGCTGAGCAGTAAACCCTGGTGAGTGAGTCATCCTGCCTGGGAATCAGAGTTGCCAGTCTGTGAGCATGTGGGGTTTGTGTAAGTTTGGGCCTTTTGTTTCTTTCAGCGCTCCAGTCTTTAGAAACACAAATCTGGAGACCAGACCCTCCACATGGTACAGTCCTTGTTTGGAGATAATTCTACTTGAACAGTTGCTTTTCTGGTATGATGGTCTTCCAAGAATGAACCCCTTGCCTTTTGAAAATTTGAATAGGCTGTGCTTATGGATTACTAGTTATACTCTAAAAGCGTGAAAAGACTTTTTAAAAAAACCTTACCTGGGTCTGTCGTTTTCACAACAAAAGCCCTAAAAAGGGGTTCAGTGTGTTTGGGAAGCTGAATTGAAACTTCAGATCTGTTGAGGACATGTGTGGACATGTCTTTTTTGTCATTTATTCTCTTTGAGGGTGGAGAATGGGACACTCCCTGATATGATGAGTCTCCAGTAACTACAGGAATGATTCTGACTTCATTTTAAGCTTGCACATTCAGAGCTTACCCTTAGAATTTCCTCTTGAAGACAACTCCCATTTTATCCTGACACTATTTGGAGGAAGTCAAGTTAAGGTAAAGTTTAAAGTTTCAGCCTTTCATAAAAACTGCCCTGTGCCCCACTGCCAGGCTTTCAGGAGCTTTGAATTTATATCAGGGAGGCCCATGAAAGCTCACTAGAACTGAGGAGGCCCATCTGGGACTGACATTGATTTTGTCTGGTGTCTGCTTTCCGTACTTCTGGCTCCTGATCCACATTTCTATTAACAGTGTAATTTCAGTGGCTGCAACTGGCAAAATTTTGAAAGTTGTAAATTATAAATGGATTTTCTAGCAAACTAATTGAAGGTAAGGATGAGGCCTGAATGGATAATGTAGTCTTAGAAATCACCTTCCCTTTGGCTCAGACATTTCTGGCAATTCATTTAATAGTTATTAATTACAATAAGCAATTAATAAACCACCATGATGAGTCTGGTATGTATCATTGCAGACTTTTCTTTTTCTTCCAGTGGTTAGTTATCCTACCATTTAGAGATTGTGCAGGGTGAATCAGCCTTTTTTTTTTTTTTTTAATATTATTTTTGTCGATGAACCTTTATTTTATTTCTTTATATGTGGTGCTGAGAATCGAACTCAGTGCCTCACACATGCTAGGCAAGTCTGCTATCACTGAGCCACAACCCCAGCCCAGGCTTTTCTTTTCTTTTTTTTTTTTAAGTGGAGCCATACTGCTTTGGAAGATGACCTGACAGTCTTCTAGGATGGTCACATTTATTGTGAGCTGGGCTTGCATTTTTTGTATAGCCTTGCTGCAGACCCAAAAGAGGTGAAAAAGAAGCTACTCCTTGGGAAACTGCTTGGTGTACAGGCTGGTGGATGACTTCTGTGGGTGGGGGAGTGGAGCAGGGTAGAGAAAGGATATTACGCCTGCTGGAGGGGCAGGCACAAGAAAGAGTCTGGAGAGAGCAAATTTCACTTTGCTGTTTGTCTAGGCCCCTGTTCATAGTCTTGATGCTGCAAATCTCTTTAGGCCATAATAAGACTGTATAGGTACCTTGGACATGGTCACCCCTTCTCCTTATTCATCTTTCTTAAAAAGAAAATCTGAGGGTATTGAAATTAGGAACCAGAGATGAACCTTCCGGCTTAACCCAAGTCCAGATAACTTTGTTATGTGATGGCTAGTTGGCAAGACAAATTTCCTCTGGAACATTCCTGTCACAACTGTAGTCTCTGATGGGTTCTGCACATGAAACAGCCTTTTGTAACTTAAAGAATTCTAGGAATTTCCTTTACTGGTTCTTCATGTGTACCCTAGCCCCTGAATTTCCAGGGGGACTTATAGAGCTGGTTTATGAGGGAGGTGATGATGAACTCAGGTTCAGTGAAATGGAGTGGTCACTGTATGGAGTGGTTCCTGGGGGGTAGTGTCCATACCCCACTCCTCTGTTGAGAGGTGACCACTTTTTCATTTCTTTCCAGGTTGGCTGGCTCCTCTGGCTGATGGCATGTTGAGGTACATGGGCCAGTGGCAGCGAGGGCATCCAATCCAGAGGGGGCCACTCTAGAGGCCAGGCCACCACCACCATGGGCCAGTGTGTCACCAAGTGCAAGAATCCCTCATCAACCTTGGGCAGCAAGAATGGAGACCGGGACCCCAGCAGCAAGTCACACAGCAGGCGAGGGGCAAGCCACCGTGAGGAACAGGTGCCACCCTGTGGTAAGCCAGGTGGGGACATCCTCGTCAATGGGACCAAGAAAGCTGAAGCTGCCACTGAAGCCTGCCAGCTGCCAACATCCTCCGGAGATGCTGGGAGGGAGTCCAAGTCCAATGCTGAGGAGTCTTCCTTGCAGAGACTGGAAGAACTGTTCAGGCGCTACAAGGATGAGCGGGAGGATGCAATTTTGGAGGAAGGCATGGAGCGCTTTTGCAATGACCTGTGTGTCGACCCCACGGAATTTCGAGTGCTGCTCTTGGCTTGGAAGTTCCAGGCTGCTACCATGTGCAAATTTACCAGGTAAGTCCCCAACAGTTCAGGTCAGTAGGTGAACAGAGGAGGAGAGAGCACCCTTGGGCAGTGGTGCCAGCTAGGATAGAACAGTTGACTTCACAGGGTTTGGGGTAAGTTTTATTTATTTATTTTACTTTTGCTGACAAAATTCTCTGAAGCTTAAATGCTCTGACTTAAGTTGTGGTTCTAATCCAGAGAACCCCCTGAGACTTTCCTATTGGTTGAAAAATGCATCCCTGGCACCACAGCAGACTCATTGAAAGTAATCTCAGGGTAGGGCTCAAGCATTTGTATTTTGATAACGCTTCCTGTATCTGAAGTGTACTTCACATTTGTTCTCGCAGGATAAAGACTTTGCCTATTTTGTAGGTCAGGTTGGAAGCCTATCATAGCATTACCAGGCAGCTTGTGAGAACCTGGACACCAGCCATCTTTGCCTGAAGTTAAATGAGAAATAATCCAGGGCAAGTCCTATTGCCCGGCTGCTGCTCAGCCCCACTGCTGTCTTAAACCTTTCTTTCCTTTCACTCCTTTGCTCGTCTCACTCAGTATTGACTGTCTGCCTATCATGTGCTGCGGGGCACTTAGTGCCCATGCAGTGAGTACCTCTGGGCTATCCCTCTGGGACTCCATGGAGCCATTTGTTCTGTGGATATTACCGCAGTCATGCATCTATGTGGAGGTTGAGGGTGAGGCAGGGTCATCTCAGGGCATGCTTTGATGAGCACAGGGTCATGAGTAAGAACAAACTTTAAGACCTAGATGAACAGTTTCTAGTTTTTAGGGCCTCGTGGGTAGGTTGCTCTCTCTACCTCAGATGCCTCACCTCTTCAGCAAGTACAGCAGCCCCTGGGAAGACGATCAGTGTGAGACCATGTCGTACAGGTATTTAAAATACAGATGCAGTTGTTGTTTTTAATACCAGAACTTTAAGATCTAGTGGCAGAGTTGCCCAGGCTCATCCAGAATTCTTGGTTTCAAGAGTCTCCTTGGCTGTCAACAAAAATATTCATAAAACAACCCTTAGAGAATCAAAAAGGAAGCAGAAAGCCTCTCTGTCTGGGAGGAGACTTTTTCCCTATTGCAGTGTAGGAAACAACAGGCCAGAGAGCAGGAGACTTGCTGTTAGCTTTGGGAAGATGAATGGATTATAAGTGAATGAACCTTTATCAGTTGCCGCCCAGTGCCAGGCACAGTTAGAAGCAGTCAACATCTGTTAGCTTTAGTCCTCCCCCAAACCCTATGAAGGCTGTGTTCTCAGTGTGATCACTGAGGAAATAGGAATGCTTAGTGGAGGAGCTGGAATTCTAATCCCTATCCTTAGGCCTCAGAGCCTTGCTGCTTTTGGTCATTATAGTCTGTTGCCTCTCTGTTAATGATATCTTTTATCATAATTAATTATGTCCTTTCCTTCCCATTATAGGAAGGAGTTTTTTGATGGCTGCAAAGCAATAAGTGCAGACAGCATTGACGGGATCTGTGCACGGTTCCCTAGCCTCTTAATAGAAGCCAAACAAGAGGATAAATTCAAGGATCTCTACAGGTTTACATTTCAGTTTGGCCTGGACTCTGAAGAAGGGCAGCGGTCACTGCATCGGGAAATAGCCATTGCCCTGTGGAAACTAGTCTTTACCCAGAACAATCCTCCTGTGTTGGACCAATGGCTAAACTTCTTAACAGAGAACCCCTCGGGGATCAAGGGCATCTCCCGGGACACTTGGAACATGTTCCTTAACTTCACTCAGGTGATTGGCCCCGACCTCAGCAACTACAGTGAAGATGAGGCCTGGCCAAGTCTCTTCGATACCTTTGTGGAGTGGGAAATGGAACGAAGGAAACGAGAAGGAGAAGGGAGAGGCACACTCAGCTCAGGGCCCGAGGGCTTGTGTCCCAAGGAGCAGACTTAATGGCTCTGTTCCAGGAGCAGCAGCAAGGATCTGCCTGCTGCCCTGCAGCCAAGCGAGGAATTGGACCTTTCTGGAAATTACCGAAGATCCGGATATTTTCTACTTTACACCTTTCTCTGCCTTGTATCTGAAAGGGCTCTAAAATGCTGTATCATGTTTTAGGCACTTTCTTCATTTTTGGTTATTTTGGTTATTTCTTTTTTTGGGGGGGAATCCCCCAAAATATTTGAACCTGGCTACATGTTGTGTATCTTCTTTTTTTGAAGCCTTCAGATAGAATAAGCCTGCCATTTCTTGCACAAATTTAGGTTTTTTGTTTTTTGTTTTTTTTTTTTTTTTTTTTTTTTTTTGGTTTTTTGGGGGTAGGGGAGGGTGTAGAGCCGGGTGGGGAGAATGGGACTGTTAGGTTGAATTAACATTACAAAATGATACAGTGCCAGATCTCAGTTTTGCATATTGTTTTTCAGGGCAGGTCTGTACTGTGTGTAGTGCTGTTTACATGGTTGAAGTTAGTTTGTAATTATTATTTTTAAAGATTTACCCAGATTTGATAGCAGTGTTAACTGTTAACCACATTGCATTAATTTCCAGACAATTGAGAGCTCTTGGAGAGCCAAGGCCAATCAAGAGCATTTGCAGTCTGGTGACAACCCCCTTTTAAGCTAATTTATCCAAAATCCCTATTTCCCTCACTTCTTGCTCATTCCTTCTTTGACCTATTGCATTTCATGTTGAGTTTATCCATCAACATGCTGCACCTGTCAGTCAAGTGAGCAGTTTCATTTTTTTTTAGAACACATTGTACTGAGAACCACTTAAGCGTTGAATGCAGAGAAAGCAGTGCTACCTCAGTTTTGCTGGAAGTTGACTTCTTTGATAGTTTTCTTTCTTTGATGAAGTTTCTGTATTTTCATGTTTTAAGTGGAAATACTTTGTTTTTCATTTGTCTTGGAGCCAAAGTTTCTGTTCCTGGTGGTCGGAAGACTGTGCCTGCCGGCCAGCTGACTTGAAGGAAAACTGTGGTATGGAGCTCTGCTTGAATCTTTTTTTTTTCCCCCTTTCTGAGTGTCATCAGCTAGCTTACTTGTCTGGCATGTGCAGAAGCCTGGGGCTGGTCTGAACTCTGCCAAACAAATGTCAGTGTATTTAATAAATGTGCCCTTTCCCTTCTTGCTGCACCCATGTTGTCACTTAACCCCTAGGAGTTATTTATTATCTTTTTGTTAATGTCAGGCTCATTTGGGGTAATGTGATGACTGTTTAGGTTTACATGATCCTCTTCTCCTTCCTCTACCCTCAAATATGTATATATACATATATTAAATATGTATATATTTTACCTATATAAAATATATATATATACACATATATGTATCTATATTTCTTTGTTTCTCTGCCTGCTAAACTGGCCATAAAAGAGGGAGCTGCCTTCGATATTTAAAGTGTAAGTAAGAAGAGTGCCAGGGAACATCATAATGGAGGCTTTCGTATCTGAATCTGACCATTTTTACTACAGGAGAACATGAATTTGCCCACATCTTCCTTACAGGATGGGGGCCTGTTGCCCACATTGCTTGCTCCATGTGGCCAGCTTTGGCCATACTGCCACTGGGGCCTGAGGAACTAACGGTGGTCCTATCTGGTTTCAGTAGAGGGTCCTCTTGTTATTTTTCCATTAACATATATATCCTCAAAAGCTATATTGGAAGGTGGATGGCAGGAGCTTGTAACAGTTCGGCTTCCAACACTTTGGAACAGATTAAAGGGAATCTTTTAAATAAAAACTTATAAAAATCTTTACACATTTGAGGTAATGAGAGTTTGTCTATTAAACATTTGGAGTTTTCTCCCCTAATCAGTCTCCCACCCCATCCAGGTATGTATTTCTTAACCTGGACAGGAATCGCATGCTTTGAGTTCCTTTATTAGTAGTAGCTCTGGGCTCTCATATTTACAGAGATGCTTATTTAAGGAGTTTAGGCTGTTTTTCTACAATTGATACTGAACATACTTGGCATTTTTCTTTTTTTTTTAATTTCTAGACCAGATAGTTGCCCCTTCTAGAGTAGCAGATAAGAGATTTTTCCATCAGCCCCATTAAACTCTGACAACACTGCTGGAAAGCTGAAAAGGCTCCTAGTCCAGGTGTCGCTTTTTGTTGTAGCTAAATAAGACACAAAAGTCCTTGTGTAAGAGCCTCCAGGGTCCCCAGTTGTGGGGGCTCAGTTGTAGTTTCGGTACAGATTCTCTTAAAGAACGTTCTCTTCCAGAGAGTTTGCAACTCTTGTTTTTGCCAACCCTGGATTAGGAGAGTTTGGATGAGGGAGGAGAGGCAGGCTTCACCTGGCCAAGTTACATTTTTTTCTGTAGATCAGTAGGGTGTGTGGGAGAGAGCACAAGAGATCCGAGAACCTGAGGACTTTAGAAGTGGCTGGATGCTTTCTCCAGACTATAAGCCTGCATTTGTGCATTAGGTTTGACAGTGTTTTTTTTTTAACTATTTGGCTTCCTTACCCCTTTCCCCATGAAAGAGCCATTGAGAAATTACTTTTGGTTATATTTTAATGATCCCTTTGTTGAGAAGTCAGAAGAGGGAGCAGTCAGGGAGGGGACTTGCAGGTTTGAGTCCCTGATGCTCAGCAAGGAAGTCAAGCTTCTACAGTAGCTCTGGGCCAGCGCTTGACCCTTTTGTGACCACGAGGAAAGCATCTGAAGTGTGTGTTGGGTTTGTATTTCTGTGAAATGGAAAGCCCCTGTTCCTCTCAGTGTAGAAATAGGTTTGCTGCTACATGGCAGGTGAGCAATAATTTGGGGGAAGAAGCCAAATGCTTGCCCCTCATTTTAGCATTGTGTCAACAGGGTGAGATGGAGAGGGGCAGGATGTGGATGCCATGTTGAAGATCTGCAACATTTGAGGGTGACTAAGAGTAGGTGTTAGAAATTTGCTTCGTTTGGGCAAAGGGCTCTGAGAGATGTTTCTTTAGCAATTTATTAGCCAGCTGATATGAGATGAAATACTGCTTCATTGAATCACTTCCCCCCATTCTTGACAAATTTGAGTGTATCATTTTTAACTTTACCTCCTCTAATGGCACTTTGCTGTGCTGCTCCTGGTTGCCTCAGTAGTTCTCCTCTCATCCTGCCAGATGTGTACACACAAGAGTTACATCAACCCCATAGATACCCTTATGGTAATGGAAAGAGCTGGCTGAAGATCCAAATCCCAAACTTGTAGGCCCAGGAAAATACAATTGAAAATGTACAAGGCAGTGTTTTCAGCAGTAAACTTCCACTAAAAGGTGGATACAACTAGCCTCCTTGTGAAAGAGGAAGGGATTAAGCCACAGGGCATTGGTCTGAAACAGTACTGATTGTCTAAGGTTGGTGCCAAAATTCAGTCCTCAGGCCAGGAGACAGCAGGGTGTTGGGACCCGGTATTTCACTTGATGGCCTCATATACCATGCCAATACTGAGACTTGTAGAAAAGTTTATGAACCAAAACATCTATATTTTGTAGTGTTTGGTTTGCTGTATTTCGTGAGGTCTTCAGTACAGCAAAGCCCAAAGGTAGCTGCTTCTAGAATTTATTTCCTTCAGTTGTTTCCTATTTTTCTTGTGTCAATTATGTTTGGTTAATGACTTGAATACCTGAACGGACAAAGGTCTTTCTTGGTGGACAAAGATCTTCCTTGGAGGACTCCAGCAGTATTTTGTTTAAGCAGCTAAAAGGACTGTTACTGAAATGTTAATTAGGACTCATTTGAGGACATGTGACATTTATGGATCCTCCTCTTATTCCTAGTATCTTTCCTAAGTGTAGAGGGGATTCCCACTACCCCCACTCAGAATTATTCCCTCACTAAGCTATAAAACATAGCATAGATCCCGTTTAACCTGGACTGTGACTGCATGTCGGTGAGGATCAGCTTCCCCTTCCCCTTTGAAAGACAGATTGATGCTTAAGCACTAGTTGCAGAAACCAAGATGGTCCAAATAGCTGTGAGTAACCCTTCAGATTCTGCTTCTGATTCAGGTGTGGGGGCATCGTGTTCTACCTAGTCCTCTTCTTGGAAACCCAGCCTGCTCTCAGAAACCTCCTTCTACCACCTGCTTTTCCTGCTACTTTCAACACAAATCTTGGGTAATGCCAAAGGAAGCCATTCAGCAGCTGCTGTCCTTTTTCCCCCAACACTTATACACTTCCTCTGGAAGAAGTGTTTTTCTTCTCGCTCTGGTCCTCAGTTGTGATTAACTGCTCTTACCTGTTGCACTAATGAATATGAATTTAGGTTGCAAAGAGGGAATTTGAAGCAATAGGCAAATGGGGCTTGGATGAATTGGTCTTGCATATATCCTGCCTTAAGCTGCTGAGGTGATGAGTCCACTGCTCATGTGACCCTCCACCTTTGTGGATCCCTCTTGGTTTGGTACCAGCATGTCTGCTTCTTGAGGTTATATAAATTTGACAAAAGTTAAAACTTTTATTTGTATTCTCTGCACTGTTGCACTCTCCAAATGGCCCCTTTTGTCTTTGATGTCTCTTTAATTTTTTTTTCTACTTTGGAAGGTAACCTGCTGGTGGATTTAATAAATTTGTTTACCTGAGTATTGATATTTTTGCAAAAACAACAACAACAAAAAAAAAAAAACAGTGAATTTATTCTGGAAAAAGTTCTACCCCCTGGAAGCCTTTGGGGTCCCCAGTACTTGCAGGCAAACATCAAATGAGTCATCATCATAGGGCCACTACCTAATCTTAACTGAATTCCCAAGAGGAGTAAAAAATCTAAGCATGCCCCTGGATCTATTAATTTTGCAGTAGTTAATGCAAAGGAGGTAAGTTGACCTGTTTTAACTGTCCAGTGCCACTGTGACCTTCGGCAAGTTAGTGAAATTCTAAGCTGTCCTTTTACTCATCTGTAAAATGAAACTTAATTCCACAGGAGTGTTAGGATTTCAAAGAAAATCTATAAAGCCCGTAAGATAAAAAAAAAAAAAGTGCTCAATCATATTACAAGCTCTCTTTAAGCTTCTCCAAAAGGACTTTGGGTGAGTAATGCAGGGAATAGTGAACTGGACAGGGCTTGGCATGGTCACATGTGATCTCTTAGGAGCTTACTTTCTGTCTAGGTGAGTTTTCACTAACATCACCCCCAGGGCTCCCATTACATTCTACAAGTCTGATATGATGGACCACTTTCAACCCTGAGCTGCTTCCATTGTAGTTTTTTGCCTAGGTCTTGTTTGTGTTTAGGAATGTTACTAACCATGTCACTCATTTCTTTGGTGAAGACAATGATGT